GATTGAACAATTGCCATAGTTTTCACCTTGCTCTATCTAATTTCTCATCTGATTCAGTGAATATTCTCCAATAGTTTAAACTTTTTCCCACTTTCTACGTCAAATTATTCTATTATAAATTGAGGTTTGGCTTTTTTATCATTGGAAAATAATCAATCAATGCTGGATAAGAAATGTTTCTGATCATTCTTCAGCTCAATTTACAGTATGTAGCACATTTTATTTTTTTGCGATTACCGCGGCGATAGGCAGAAAAGGTGGCAAAACACAACTGCGGTATCTTCCAACTGAGATCGACAAAAAAGTTAATTACAAAATCATCTCCTCACCCCGAGAAAACCGCATCGCCGTATTGGAAAGTACATAACCCTTCGGCAAGACCTATTTCTTCTTCTCTTTCGATATTCAGTGCCAATCTTGTTCGGTCTGGTATAATAATGTGGGTTCTTGTACCCCGAACGAGCGAGAATGCAAATTATTTCACCGCTGGATAAACTTTCAGCTGCTGGTGTATGCAGTCCCATGTTTGTTTGGAATTTGCCAAACGGATGGGGTTGTTTTTTCGTATGGAATACAATGAACGGATCTTTTTCTCTCCTGGTCGTGAATTTTTCTGGGGAACTTCTGGGAGCAACAATTGCCCGCGGTCGCTCAATTATCATTTCTCAATTTTACGAAATGAGAATTGAACTCGAATAATTTTTCAACATCTCTCGGGGTAAATTTACAGATGACCACGATGACCTGCTAAAAATGCATCCGGTTGTCCTGGATAATTTCTAGGTAAACCGGAGTAAATTTGCGAATGCAGAAATATGAATAGCAGTGGTGGTAACTGGAGCAGTTAGAATCCGGTGAGCCTTCGGAAAACGCAATCGCAAAGGAAAAAGATCGATCACCTTTGCATTGTTCATCCGGAAATGGTGAATATCAATCGTAACGGAGACAAATGAGGCCCGTGTCATTTATTTGAGTGACTGCCCAGCTGGTTACCACCACTGCATTGCCGATATTAATGCTCAGGCATACGTCATTTTCGTGTAACGCATACACGAAATGTTGTTCACCAGTGGCACTTATCAATCATCATTGAGTAATGGGATAGTATAACGGAGTGGATTAAATTCATGGAATAAAATACCAAAGCTGCGGGATAAAATTCATCGAATGAAGTCGAATTCTTTCCACATGACAGTTGAAATAAACAGTAAAGATAAATTGATGGCTTTCTGTTAGAAAATATTCTCCGATTTGTCAATAATTTCAATTTTTAATCATTAATTTATCCACAGGTTACGGCGATTATTGAAATATCATTGAATAAGAATGAGGTGGGTATCGAGTTTAATTTTGTACGTTACTAGAAATAATTCATGATATTTTGGGCCCTCGAAATGCCACAAAGACAGGTTGTACTACAAAACAAGTTGCCGATAGGTGAACCGACAGGATTTGCTGGGGCAGTCCCTGCACATGCCCTACCATCAGAAGAGATCCAGCATGCGATCCACATCCAAGAATTCTCATCAATCATTTAAATGTAACACAGGAGGGATATATGCCGTATTCGTATCCAACTTGGCCGGTTCACTTTGTCTTGACATCTGTCGGTGCCGAGGCCACATGCACCGACTGCCAACGCATGCACCAATAACACTGTCCTCCTTATTCAACCCTGCATCCACCATTATTTTTTTTCATTCTCACTCCTCCCCTTTTTGTCTGTCTCAATCTCCCGAGAGAACTCGTCTGCACGCACAATGTAATCTCATAAAGGATTCAAGATGGAGTCAGCTGATACTCATATTAGCTGGTACATGCAACTGCGAGGCCAATGATCAGTCCGATTAATCGCAGCTGGCGGCATTATTTATTTATCCGGCGATGGGACGGAATTCACTGTCCAATATTTTTTTTTTCTCTCAGAAAATTATTTTGCCCCTGCCCCCTCGAAAAAACGAGATGAGAAGCAATGATCGCTGCAGAGTAGTATTTTTACCTAGTGCATAATTAAAAATTCATTACCCCAGCGCTTTTTCACGTTCAACCCGAAATATCAACATCCAAGGAATGAACAGTACCGCCGCGCCTTAATTAGATGAATGTTAAATCTGCCACCTCAATTAATCAGCGACTAATTTCAATTAATTTTCACAGTTTGCCGAAACACGGTGATATTCACACTTACTGGATGGGACGCATTAACTCATTTCTGAATGAGATAGAAGCGAAATAAACCCCGGTAATTCGATATTTAATAACGTACTATTCGCAATCCGCTGAGTCATTGCGGTCTGCCTAATTACTAATTACTCCGTGGGTATTTAAAATTTTCATGGACCTTTCACAATTCACCGCTGATGAATTGAGATCAATGAGACGAGGCCGTATCGTCACTCAACCGAAGAATAATAAATCATCTCCGATGATGAGTCACCAAGATCAATATCTCTGGGTTGTATACCCTTCGGGGCTCAATGGAGGAAATTTCTTGGGTGTACGGTATCGATTAAACAGAATACAAAAGCGCATTAAGTATTTTTACCCTCAATTTCTTCTTCCCTCTATTTTCTACCGCCTTCCCTTCAGTTATGTACGACCATATCGTTTTTTTAAATTGTTTTGTCCTATTGATTCTTCTTACTAATTTGTTGCAACGAGCATAACGATAAATTCAGTACTTTAATTTAACGACACGCGAAGAGGAGAGGCATACACGGGAGGCTCTAGTTACCTACAAAAACAAATACATGTAGGCGGATTGTGCGGACGAGAGAAACCCACACGAATATTGGCTTTAAAACCACCTACAGATTCTCATCGACAGTGATAAATTTTCCGTTTTATTAACTCTAGGCTTGAGAGAGAAAGAGAGAATCAGTATGGAGAGAAAACACTGCATTGGTGAAAAATTGATGGAGTCTTAAAAAATTTGGTATTAAATTTTCAAAATCCGGATTAAAATACTAAATAATTGATTTTATTCCGTATTTTAATCTGCAACTGGGAAAGTCATATCATATACATGAAAAATTATGACCTTCAATTATTCATAATGTACCGTAATTTAGCCCGAAATTTCTCTCCGTGGAAAAATAAAATACTCCAGCGATTTCTGTCGCAATATTCAACAGGTCATGAAATTTTTTGATTTGAGATCGTCAGTGGTTGGAGGCGAGTGATAAAGTGAAAGAGAAAAAATATTTTTGGAATACGGGGTAAAACCGCCGAGGGGTGTAATCAAAGGCGTTGAAAGCCCTGAAAGATCATGGCCGCAAGGGTGAATAATAATTACTCATTCAAATAGACGAGAGACTTAAGAGGGTGGCAATCTCATCCATCGTCTTATCACACGATCGAGGGGGATGCGCAGGGATGAAAGAGTCCGCGAGAAAATCGGATAGACGCTATACCCCCTCGCCCAATCAGCTGAGACCTTAACCTCTCACCCCCTGTCGCCATTCATTCTGTCTCATTCAACCCCATTGCACCCTCTTGCACCCTCTCTCTCTCATCCCCTTTGTACCCCAATCCTTCTCTCTCTCTCTTTCTCTCACTCGTCACTCTCGAGTAGTTTCTCCACTTTCGGTGATTGCCATCGAGATTTACGATGCCCAACGTTGTAATGTAGTCGATGTATTTTCTTGTCTCCTATGTAGACAGGACACAATTGAAATCCCGGACAAAAATTGCAACCGTGTGGAAGATAATTCCTGATTTACGCTAAAAGTCGCAATGATGGAGTCGTGGTCATTCTGCACGTGCAAAGAAAAATAAAT